GCCTAAATTTTCTCCAAGGATTGGAGCAAGTTGGGGTAAGTTTAGAACCTAAAATTTGAGTTTTACTCTAAGGGTTGGAGTAGGTCTAAGGAGTGGGGAAGTAGGCTAAGTTCTAATGTGGCTTGCCATAATATGTAGTTCAACTTCGCCCTTGGCGAGAATCAAATTTAAGATCTCTCACTTACAAGTGAAGAATTATTTCATACAACGAGTCATATTTCTTTACATGATGGCCTAAGGCATCATTTCATCATATAAGTGTTGTAATTCGAACTATTCATTTTCTTGACAATCCTCAAAAGAAAGGAAAAGGAAAAGGGAAAAAGTGGATGGTGGGATGAGACTCTAGGGGATGTTGGGAGGCCTTGGGATCACTTGTCGAAGACAGGAATTGGTCTTTGGAGAATCTAGAAGTGTAGAAATGATGTGATTTTTCAAGGCAAAGCATGGAATCCGACGGAAGCAATTGAGGTTTGAAGGAAACATTTGGGTAAGTATCGGGTACTTGTGAATGAAGGGTGGGATTCATTAGACAAAACAAAGATGGATAGGGTGCGGGAAGGAGTTAGTGTGGCATGAAGGTGGAGGAAACTGACTTTTGAGACGTTAAAGATTAATTGTGATGGCTTGTGGAACTCGAACACATGACTTGGGGGATATGGTTGGGTTATTCGAGACTTTGCAGGTTGTTTGAGGAGAGCAGGATGAACGGGGATGAGGGTTTTTAATTCGACGATCTTGGCAGAAGTAAAGGCTATTCGCGTGATGCTTATACCAAACTGACACGCCCCAACCCAGATATCCAAATGACACTTGGATGGCATGTGTTGGCCAACACCTAAGTGTGATGAAAGCCATAAGTGTGTGAATATGTGAGAATATAAAGGAACAAGCATTTAAAAAATTACGTAAGAAACAAGATTCACAAGAAGATGCAACATTAAAAAGCAGTAGTGATTGTAATCCAATTCAAACATAACAAAAACAGGATATTCAACGATCATGAATATGTTCAGAGCATACTACTAAACAAAAGTGCCATAGAATGGTAAAACAACAAGTAACAAAGATCATGAAAAGAATCCATACTCAAGTGGAGAGATGCAAGGTCACTGATAGAGAAATGCCTTGAAACTCAGGTCGTACTCTTCGTCGCTATGTCCTGAGGGGGTGCAAAATAGAAAAGGTGAGTGGACCATAATTTGTATTAATACTAATAATAGGAAAACCATTTTATTTATGAACATACTAATCCCTTATTTTGAAAACGCATATAATACTACAATAGATTTTCTGAAAACTTAGCATGCACTAAAAATCATTTGTAAAACATGTACGTGTAAAACAATGCTCGATGATGGTGCTATTGCCACCCGAAGGCAAATTCGTAAATCTCATCCATACTGTATTCTCTAGGGGTATCATAGTCGCCCGTAGGCAATATATGTCCATCACCCGAAGGTGAAGCTGAATAACATGTCCATCACCCGAAGGTGAAACTATATAACATGTCCATCACTCGAAGGTGAAGCTGAATAAAAAAGCATACATACACACCGACACTAGTTGTGACTAATGAAGTTGTTCGACACTGCTTTCGACAGTGAAGCTGGGGGTATAAATATCTCACTACTCCTCCATTGTGTCTTATGGCCATGGACTAATACCCGTGGTGTGTGAATGTGCCATATGATAACCCACTAGATACGTATCGAAAACATATCTCAAAATCCCATATCAAATCCGGAGTTCAAAAGCTCAAAACCTTATTTCATCAATCCATGATAGCACATATTCATAAATTCGTAAAATAAATCATATTCGAAAGCCATAAAATTTCATATACCGGAATCCAATGATTCATAATCTTTCGTAAAACATAAATTCGATAAATCATAAATATTTCGTAAAAGCAATTTAAAGAAACCATAAATTCTCCGTAAATCATATTATAAAACATGCTCAAATCATGAAATATGAAATGCGTGCTAGGTTAATATTTTATAAAAACATGTAAGTTTAAAAGGGGTCCACTCACAAATAGTCGTCTACTGTAAAACCACTCGAACTAGGATGAACTGGATCGCTTCCAACTATTGTACCTAAACACAAAGAGAGTACATTTAATAAAAATTTACTAAAACGATGGAATTTCAGAAAATGGATAGTGGATTTGGATTCGGCACGTCGAATAACATAAAGAAGGACCTCAGGTTCCCTCATGCGCTGCCGCACACGCTGCCACTAAATGGCAGCCCGAAAAGCCATGCGTTGCCCCGAGATGAGTCGCCAGAAAGGTCACGCGCGCCCATGTTCACCCACACTTGGCCCATGCGCCAACTGTGGAAATGGATTTCTGTATTGGGCCTGGGGTTTTGGGCTTAATGCGTTAGGCCAATATTGATTTGGGCTTGGGTTAAGTTTAGTGGGTTGGGCATAGGGCTAAATGGGTTGGATTTTGGTTACATAAGCCCAAGGTTTTGGGTTGGGTTTAGAGTTGGGCCAGATTAGGTTGGGTTGGGCTACTTCGGGTCGGGTTTGGCCTTTAAACTTACAGGTCAACGGACCCAGCAAAAAGAAAGGTCGAAATTCAGCCGAGAGTTTTCTCAACTTCGTTTTGGGGTCAAAACTCAACCAAAAACAATGATTCAAAAATAATATTGAAGCTAGAGACATGGAGGACAAGTTCGTACCAAAATGGGGCCAAGTTATTGTCAGCTTTGGCTAGAAATTCCCTATAAACCCGTGGTACATGTCGGAAAAACTAGGAAAGGTTTCCTCCGAGTATTCCTGCGTCCAAAACCATCCCAAAATGTCTCAAAAACTACCTAATCACCCTACCAAACCTGATCTAGGAGTATTTAAGGGTGAAATCCACTTACCTCGTAGGAAAATCACGTGCATAATGATTGTGCACAATACCGAGAAGGAGAGATAGTGGGATCGATGAGGTAAGGGAGATAAGGGAGGGTCCAGGTGGTGAGAATGGTGTGATTGTGACGGTGGTGGTCAGTGTGCACGTATGTATATGTGTGTGAGCTCGCTGGAAATGAGAGAAGAGAGTAGAGATGAGAGAGAGAGATAGAGAGAGAATGAGAAGGTTCTAGAGTAAGAGAGAGATCACAGGAATGAGGGGAAAAAGGCACCAGAAATGGGGTGCCATGTGTCACCCATGTAAAGGTCCAAGATGGGGAAATATCTCCACTTGCAAAATTACCAAATGGCCCTTATCATTCAAAAATCGTAGAAGCTTTGTTTTAGCTCCCAACTCAATTCCAATCGTGCCTTCGTGTTTATATCGATGAGAGCTATGAGAATAGAATAAGTAAAACTCTAAACCATTAGCGAATGAAGGTTAACGAAAGTCAACCTTTTCGTCACTAAGGGTATTTTCGTAATTTTACCCATTTAAAACATAAATTTCGATACGAGTCGTTACACTTGTTCTGTAAGGATGAAGGATATACAAAACCCGAGATTGAATCAGATGCCCATATGTTGATTTGAATGTTTAACAAGGAGATTGAAGTAGAAGCTAACTTGGAAAGCTAGTTTTTTTATATTGAATTGTTGGTCAAGCATATTGGGGACGTAAATATTGAGTTTGTGTCGCAGGGTAGCAACCTTGTTGCCTACGCGGTTGTCTTTTTTACTGCCAAACATGGTGGTCTATTTGTTTGGGACGAGATAAGCCCAAAGTTCTTGTTTAATATTCTCACTACGGATGTAAATATTTCGATTAGATTATAAATAAAGCGTATCTTTTGACAAACCTAAAAACAACTTCACTACAATAGGTGTAACCCGAGCAAGTTGAAATGTCAATTCAGCTTTGACTCATAATTAATTTGTTTGTGTTTGGTTTTTGATTCTATTTGGGGTTGGAAAAATGCCTAAGATAAGTAAACGCTGCCATTTTGTGAAACATGCATCATGCCTTCTTCCCAAGGCGATGCCTTCCCGGGTTAGCCTTTCATAGCCGCCACTTTTGATATTAGGCCTCATGGCTTTCACGTGTTGAACTTCTACTTGAGCTAGGAAGGGAAAGTTAACCATTAATGCATGCCTGTTTGGATTTTAATGTAATTACAAGGCTGGATGACTTTGGTTTCTCCCTAACTAAGTTGGTCAACTCTTTAAGGAAAAGGGGCAACTTAAGTTTGGTTCTCTCTCAAGCTTACCTACGTGGACTTCAAAGGCTATGAGATTGGATATTTGGGCTCTCTAGTAGCCAAAAGTCTTTCATAATCTTAACTTCACATAGGCCCGATAAACTTTCGTAACCATGCACACCACAATTCACTTGACAAGCCTTGGACATGTGAGTTGGGTTTATTTTAGCATGAATAGTGATTGGCGCGATAAAGTTTGATGTGATGGATATGCATGGGCACAATGTGATTTATATTTGGGCTTGGCATGAGGCTCGTATAGCGGGTCTCGAGAATTGATGAGGTTTGCATGTGATATTTTTTAACCTCAACAACAGTTTGTTAGTTGTCTTATTTTGTAAGAAACAAAAAGCAAAAACTTTTCTTCCCAATATTGTATGAATGTCACACGTTTGAATTGATCTTCATTAGAAAAATAAAAGGGTGAGCGATATGGAAAATTTGTTGTTAAAAGAAAAACATTATGGATTTATGAATGTGTCATGACAAATTAAATATACAAATTTCGGGTGCAACATTTACTCTTCTTCAAAGCACCTAAGTTTTTCTTTTGTGGAAAAAAGAAACACACATCTTTAAATCACCAAATACTTTCTCAATCTAAACTGCCAACTGTCAAACACATCATTTGCCACGTGGTAATCATCACCTAGTAATTAAATTTATTCATCGTACATCATGTAGTCAGAAATTATTTTAAATATTTTTATTTAAAATTAAATACAAATAGTACCTGATAAAAAAAATTCGAGAGTTCCTGTCGGTAATTCTTCCCCTCACCCTCATACACGTCTCCGCAAAAACGGAACTAGGAAAACGCCGTCGTATAATCCATGCCCATCAGTCTCCAGTCGTTTTTGCCCCTCCCCCATTTTCCTCGCTTTGGAAACTCCTCCCCAATTCCCAAAGCTATCCCCTCTTCGGTAACTCCGCCCAACTCTCCCCTTTTAAACTCTCCACCTACTTCCTCCGTGACCGTACACCGCCGGTCAACACCAGTCACAATGTCGCAGTCCGTACATCTCCTCACCCCTTCCGACCTCGCCATCCCAAAACACCACTCCTCCTTCCTCTCCACCTTCAATCGCCGGTTGTCGGTCACCACCACCACCACAACCGCTTCCCCTTTCTTCCCAAAGCTCTCCATCAGAGCCTCCTCCTCCGATCGCAAGCCTTCCGTTCTCGTCACTGACAACGGCACATCCTCCTCGGGGCTCCAATCCTCTGCTTCGCACGCCGACCATGCTCTCTCCAGCTCCATCGAGGTCGACGCCGTCACCGAAGCCGAGCTCCGGGAGAACGGATTCCGCTCCACCAGGCGCACCAAGCTCGTATGCACCATCGGTCCCGCCACCTCCGGATTCGACCAGCTCGAGTCGCTCGCCGTCGGCGGCATGAACGTAGCACGCATCAACATGTGCCACGGCACCCGCGAGTGGCACCGCGAGGTCATTCAGCGCGTCAGGAGGCTCAACGAGGACAAGGGATACGCCGTCGCCATCATGATGGACACCGAAGGCAGCGAGATTCATATGGGTGATTTGGGTGGCGCCTCCTCCGCCAAAGCCGAGGTCCGTTTGTTTGCTTCTTTGTGACATTTCATCAAGCACCTTATGTGCAATGTTTCATGCTGAGTGCTGATTAGTTTGGTTTTCGAATGTACAGGATGGTGAAGTATGGACTTTTAGTGTCAGAGCTTTCGGCTCCGCTCTCCCCGAGCACACCATCAATGTGAATTATGAAGGTTTTGCTGAAGGTAATTAAATTAGATCACCAAATTTCTTAAATTTTTAATCTTTTCCCGCTTTGTTTTAGTTGAAATGCGAAATTTGATGTATGATATGATGCTTGCAGATGTGAAAGTGGGGGATGAACTGCTTGTGGATGGCGGGATGGTGAGGTTTGAGGTGATCGAGAAGCTTGGTCCTGATGTTAAGTGTAAGTGTACTGATCCTGGTTTGTTGCTGCCTCGGGCTAATTTGACTTTCTGGAGGGACGGGAGTTTAGTGCGAGAACGCAATGCCATGCTTCCCACAATTTCGTCTAAGGTTTGCTCATTATTTTCGTTCTTTTACATAAGAAAAACATTGAGGGACTCATCGGTTGATGTATGTATTGAATTTCTTAATGTTATTTTTTGTATGCGACTTACATAGTGAGTAAAATGCATAACGATGCCCTGACGAGCCTTCTGTATGTTCCAACTTCCGAATACATATATTTGTCTAGTTATAAACTATGATTGACAATTTGACATTATAAATTCCACAGGGGCTGCATTCCACTCTTTACATTGTTTTTCGAACCGTATTAGCAAGGCTTTCGAATGTGCAAGCTGAATATTGATACATTTGATGTGTCCATTAGGAATTATCAAATGGTTCAAATTGAATTTTTGAATGCATATATGCATCTTCAATCACGTCTAGTGATGGTTCTGTTGCATATGCTTTTGTTTCAATATTTGTTAAAGCTTGTTCAAAACTAGTTAATTATTTAATGCCATTACTTTGAAAAGAGGAGAATAAGTTTTGAAAGGCTGAGCTAAAAGTCTAAGACTACACTATTATAATCATCTTTTCTTCAACTTCCACATGTTTATTTTCAGTTTTGAAATGACTTTCGTTTTTAAGATTCTCAAATTTAAATTATACTACTTTCTTCTGGTAAGCACAGCTTTATCATATTATTACTATTTGGTTAACTCTATTGTTGGTTTGTAAGCATGGAGTTATGGTTTCAGTGCATTAGTGTCTTCTGATATGAAGCATCCTTACCTACAGATTTCGTATCACAAAGATGGATCTTCTCTTGAGCTAGATTACATAAAGGAATCCCAAGTTTTGAATATTTTCATAATTATTAATTCGTGTCACAATCTTAAATTGGTCATAAGGCTAATTCTATACTCTAATAACCCTGTCTGGACTCTGGGGTGTGGTCTGGTCATACTTCGATTCTTAAAAGCATAATCATGAATTGGCAAACTTTGAATAGTGTATATCATTTGTGCTTGTGTATGCTAGCAATGATATGCATTTGTGATTGTTCTTCATTTCTTCTGTTATTGCTAAAATGTACTTGTGTATTATTTCTACATAATAATATTGGTAAGTTCTTTAAACTTATCTTTTGTTCTCACACTCTGAGTTTTCAATATATTCAGGATTGGTTGGACATTGATTTTGGGATTGCAGAGGGTGTTGATTTTATCGCTGTATCTTTTGTCAAGTCTGCGGAAGTGATTAATCATCTTAAAAGCTATATTGCTGCACGGTCACGAGATAGGTAAAGAACTTAAGTCTTTGAATACGTATATTATACATATACATATACATATTATATTTCGTGGTCATATGTTTTCGCTTCATTATGAAGCCTCCTTCATGTTGTTCCTATTGAGTATTGAGTCAGTGCTCCTGTTAGGCCATCTTCAACCGAAAGGGGGCCAAAGGGCCATGTTTAGCCCTATAGCCTTACAAGAAATTATTTTTTAATGAACAATGTTAGGCCATATTTTGTATCATCTACAACCAAAGGGGCCAAAAGCCATAGGCCAAAACATAGCCCTTTGACAAAAAACTCATCTCCAACCGGAGGGGGCTATTTTTAATATGTTCTATAATGAAAAGGACCTCCGAACAATAACCAACCAACAACAACAACAACAACAAAGCCTTTTCCCACTAAGTGGGGTCGGCTATATGAATCCTAGAACGCCATTGCGCTCGGTTTTGTGTCATGTCCTCCGTTAGATCCAAGTACTCTAAGTCTTTTCTTAGAGTCTCTTCCAAAGTTGTCCTAGGTCTTCCTCTACCCCTTCGGCCCTGAACCTCTGTCCCGTAGTCACATCTTCGAACTGGAGCGTCAGTCGGCCTTCTTTGCACATGTTCAAAATCACCGGAGCCGATTTTCTCTCATATTTCCTACAATTTCGGCTACTCCTACTTTACCTCGGATATCCTCATTCCCAATCTTATCCTTTCTCGTGTGCCCACACATCCCACGAAGCATCCTCATCTCCGCTACACCTATTTTGTGTACGTGTTGATGCTTCACCACCCAACATTCTGTGCCATACAACATCGCTAGCCTTATTGCCGTCCTATAAAATTTTCCCTTGAGCTTCAGTGGCCTACGACGGTCACACAACACGCCGAATGCACTCTTTCCATCCAGCTCGTATTCTATGGTTGAGATCTCCATCTAATTCTCCGTTCTCTTGCAAGATAGATCCTAGGTAGCGAAAACGATCGCTTTTTGTGATCTTCGCTAGATTGCTCCGGTCATTAGTGTGGATAAGTATATAAATGGATAGAGATAGGAAAGCAAAACACAAGATGTACGTGGTTCACCCAGATTGGCTACGTCCACGGAATAGAAGAGTTCTCATTAATTGTGAAGGGTTTACACAAGTACATAGGTTCAAGCTCTCATTTAGTGAGTACAAGTGAATGATTTTAGTACAAATGACATTAGAAAATATTGTGGGAGAATGATCTCGTAATCACGAAACTTCTAAGTATCGGAGTGTGGTGTCGTCTTGACTTGCCTTATCTGTCTCATAGGTAGATGTGGCATCTTCTCTGGAAGTACTATTCCTCCATCCAGGGGTGGTATCTTTAACTGGTGGAGATGCACAAGGTAATGTATCAATTTCACTTGAGGCTTACTTGTAGTTTCAGGCTTGGTCAAGCGCGATACAAACCATGTAGTAGGAGTTCCCCAAGTCGCCGAGCTAGGGGGTCTGCTGAAAGAGGTGACAGACAAGGTAAGCAATCAGAGCTCCGACTGATTGTTCACCTTCTCCCCATCTTGCAGCAGCATGAAGGATAAAGAGAGAAGAAAAATGAGAAGAGATGATATGAGATACTTTTGCTTTTGAAGAAGTAACTTTCCACAGGCTTATTCTTGAACTGAGCTGGAGGGTTTTCTGGTTTCCTCCAGAGTATAAGGCCGACTGAAGAATTTGAGGGTCAAAAACAAGTCCATCAAATCTAGAGTACGTTCCACCCTGCTGATATGGGATACTTTTGCTTTTGACAGAGTAATGAATGTATCGGCACGTGTGCTGTTACGCTTGTCTCCACATGCTTCCTTGTATCCTTCGCACTTGCCCTATCTGTTCCTCAAGCAGATGCGGAATCTTCCCTGGAAACATAAGATGTTGAAGATGAGTACTCGAGAGCAATGCCAGGTAAGTAATCAGGTAAGGGGTTCCAGGCAGTCAGTTCCTGGCTGGAAGCTTGATTCCAAGTGCTGACTGATTGCTCTTTCTCCTTGTCTTGCAGGTAAAAACAAGGCCAAAAGAAAAGACAGGGAAAAAGCATGATATGGGATACTCTTGCTTTTAACCCTGATGATATGAGATATTCTTGCTCTAGTATAGCTTGTTTGCAGAGGTATTATCGGGGGGAAAGAAAGCTGAATATTTCGAAAGGCTTCGTTGGGAGTGCCCTCTCAGATATGATGAAGGGTTGAGCATTTTTGCAGGTCTGCCTGTCCGTTGGGGATGGAGGTCGACATATATAGGAGTCTCCCTAACAACAAGTAGTAATGCTATTCCTTTACCCTGCTTGGTCATAGCACGGTAGTGGGAGCTGCCAGTTTCACATGTTTTTAACTCTGTCAGAGCACTTTGAAAAAGTGGTCTGTGGTATCTGGCTCTCGAGATTCGGAGAACGATGCCTCTTCGATTTTTGAGAAAGCAATCATGCTGGGGGTATGACTCTCGAGATTCGGAGAGCAGTGTCTCTTCGATTTTTTGAGGAAGTAATCATGTTGGGAGTCTGGCTCTCGAGATTCGGAGGGCGGTGCCTCTTCGATTTTGGAGCAAGCAATCTTGTTGGGAGTGTTGTCTCGAATGTGAGTAAAGGTTGGGCATGTTTGCTAGTCTACCTTGCCACGAAGCACAAAGGTTGACACACAGGGACTTTCCAATTATCCAGCAATGGTACTGTTCCTTTACCCTCTCTTCGATTTTGAGAAAGTAGTCATGTTGGGAGTCTGGCTCTCGAGATTCGGAGGACGGTGCCTCTTCGATTTTGGAGCAAGCAATCTTATTGGGAGTGTTTTCTCGAATGTGAGTAAAGGTTGGGCATGTTTGCTAGTCTACCTTGCCACGAAGCACAGAGGTTGACACACAGGGACTTTCCAATTATCCAGCAGTGGTACTGTTCCTTTACAGTTGTGGGTAATAATATGGTAGCTAGACCTTCAAAATTTATGTGTCTAAACTTTTGTTAGTGCTGTTTCTTTGCTATTCTTTTACCTTTCTTGGTCAGAGCGATGTAGTGGGAGCTGCAAGCTTCACGTGCTCAACTTTGGCAGAGAACTTTGGCAAAGTTATTTGTGGTACCCATGAGCTATTTATTGCGTGTGGGAAGTGGGTGATTGAACAGTAAGATTCATGTGTGCTTTCCTACTTCACCAGAAAGTCTTCGACAGAATGCCCATAATTTCTGCAAAGCTGAGTGTGCGTGTGACAGGTGCTGACAAGGCTAGAAAAAGTAGGTGCCTCTTCGATTTCTGAGATCGGCCTGGTCTCTTGGTGTCTCTGAGCAGCCCAGCTCTTGAGAAAGCGAGCGCCTCTTCGATTGATTCGGAGAACGATGCCTCATCGATTTTTGAGAAAGCAATCATGCTGGGGGTCTGGCTCTCGAGATTCGGGGAGCAGTGTCTCTTCGATTTTTGAGAAAGTAATCATGTTGGGAGTCTGGCTCTCGAGATTCGGAGGGCGGTGCCTCTTCGATTTTTGGAGCAAGCAATCTTGTTGGGAGTGTTTTCTCGAATGTGAGTAAAGGTTGGGCATGTTTGCTAGTCTACCTTGCCACGAAGCACAGAGGTTGACACACAGGGACTTTCCAATTATCCAGCAATGGTACTGTTCCTTTACCCTCTCTTCGATTTTTAAGAAAGTAGTCATGTTGGGAGTCTGGCTCTCGAGATTCGGAGGACGGTGCCTCTTCGATTTTGGAGCAAGCAATCTTATTGGGAGTGTTTTCTCGAATGTGAGTAAAGGTTGGGCATGTTTGCTAGTCTACCTTGCCACGAAGCACAGAGGTTGACACACAGGGACTTTCCAATTATCCAGCAGTGGTACTGTTCCTTTACCCTTGTGGGTAATAATATGGTAGCTAGACCTTCAAAAATTTATGGGTCTAAACTTTGTTAGTGCTGTTTCTTTGCTATTCTTTACCCTTCTTGGTCAGAGCGATGTAGTGGGAGCTGCAAGCTTCTCGTGCTCAACTTTGGCAAAGTTATCTGTGGTACCCATGAGCTATTGTTGCGTGTGGGAAGTGGGTGATTGAACAGTAAGATTCATGTGTTTTCTACTTCCCCAGAAGTCTTTGACAGAATGCCCATAATTTCCGCAAAACTGAGTGTGCGTGTGACAGGTGCTGACAAGGCTGGAAAAGGCTGAAAAAGTAGGTGCCTCTTCGATTTCTGAGATCGGCCCTCGTGGTCTCTGGGGAGCCCAGCTTTTGAGAAAGCGAGCGCCTCTTCGATTTTTGAGATCGGCCTTCGTGGTCTTTGAGCAACCCAACTTTTGAGAAAGCAAACGCCTCTTCGATTTCTGAGATCAACCCTCGTGATCTCTAAGCAGCCCAGCTTTTGAGAAAGCAAACGCCTCTTCGATTTCTGAGCAGGCGCCTCTTCGATTTCTGAAGCTTCGTCGAGTGCAGATTTTTATAGGGGCTGGCATTAAGTTCCAAAGCACACTTGAATCTCCACCAGTAGAAGCTTCATTCTTGCACTTCTAAGATCTTGATTTGTCCGACCTCTTCTCTCTTCAACACCTTTGAAAATGTCTGGCCCCTCCGACCGTCGTTTTGACTTGAACCTTGTTGAAGAGGCAGCCCGCCCTTCTCCAGACAACATATGGCGCCCATCCTTCGTCTCCCCTACTGGTCCTCTTACCGTTGGGGATTCCGTGATGAAGAATGATATGACCGCTGCGGTGGTGGCCAGGAACCTTCTCACTCCCAAAGATAACAGACTACTTTCCAAACGGTCTGATGAGTTAGCTGTTAAGGATTCGCTGGCTCTCAGTGTTCAGTGTGCAGGTTCTGTGTCTAATATGGCCCAACGCCTATTTGCTCGAACCCGCCAAGTTGAATCATTGGCGGCTGAAGTGATGAGTCTCAAACAGGAGATTAGAGGGCTCAAGCATGAGAATAAACAGTTGCACCGGCTCGCACATGACTATGCTACAAACATGAAGAGGAAGCTTGACCAGATGAAGGAAACTGATGGTCAGGTTTTACTTGATCATCAGAGATTTGTGG